TCTAACCACCAGCCCCCCTCCCCTCCCCTCCCAGAGCCGGGGGAGAGAACCCAGGCGTCCGGGCTCCGAGCCCCCTGCTCTAACCACCAGCCCCCCTCCCCTCCCCTCCCAGAGCCGGGGGAGAGAACCCAGGCGTCCGGGCTCCGAGCCCCCTGCTCTAACCACCAGCCCCCCTCCCCTCCCCTCCCAGAGCCGGGGAGAGAACCCAGGCGTCCGGGCTCCGAGCCCCCCTCCCCCCACTCTAAGCCACCAGCCCCCGCTCCCCTCCCAGAGCCGGGGAGAGAACCCAGGCGTCCGGGCTCCCAGCCCTCCCCCCAGCTCTAGCCACCAGCCCCCGCCCCCCTCCCAGAGCCGGGGAGAGAACCCAGGCGTCCGGGCTCCCTGCTGCCGTCCCTGGTCCGGCAGCCTGTGCCCTGCGGTCTCCTCCTGGCCCTGGGGAGCAGTGCCAGGCTTGCTTGTCACTAAGCATCCCGGCTCTGGGATGGGGCTTTGGGGAATGCCCCCAGCACTTCAGCTCCTGGGCTGTGGTCCTAGTTTGGGGTCTGGGGCTTTTGTCTTGGAGACATGGTGATGTGTTGCAGGACTGGGCGAGAGAGAACCCAGATGGGTTCACACACACGCACCGAACAGGGAGCAAGAGCAAAACTTACCAAGGGGGGTTCTGTGCTGGATGTTTGGCTTCTGTCTTGCTGGGCTGTCCTCAAAGCAATGCTTCAGCAGTGCAGCAGCACACCCCTTGGGCTGGGCTCCTTTATTGCCATTTGGATGCCTGATTGTTCCTAGCCCAGTCACCCCGGTGTGGGACTGCTTTAGGCAATCTCCACCTTACAGGAGACTGGCAACTGGATCCGCTTTCTAGCTGGGGGATGGCTGACAGGGAATGATCTTCCTCTGCCCTTCAGTAGCCTGTAGTTATTAATGGGGTGGTTAGCCAGTTGCCTCTTTAAAAAATGTAGATTCATGATAGGAAACCGTTTTCATAAGTAGCTTATCCTGAAGTAAATCCTCAGGAAATCACTTCTCCATACCAAGCTGCTGGTGGTGAATACTTGCTGCTGCTCCTGTTAATTGCATTGTAGCTCTCTGTAGGAGAAGCTTCCCTAGCTGACATCTGTCTACTCCCAGCTATGTGGGTTACTCGTACTGTACGCTCTTCAGTGCTGGGGCTGTGTGTATCGGTGCAGTCCTGTATTCATGATTGCCACTCCAGTCAGGTGACTGTAAGGCCTGGTCTCGGACAGTCTGGCTGATTAGCTAGGTGGGAAGGCTGGTTTAGCCTTAAAAACAACAAGGAGTCTGGTGACCCCTTAAACACTAACAGATTTATCTGGGCATAAGCTTTCATGGGTAAAACACCCACTTCTTCAGATGCATGGAGTGAAAGTTACAGATGCAGGCATTATATAATGACCTATGAAGAGAAAGATGTTACCGCACCAGTGGTTTAGCCTTAGTTATTTGTACTGAATCTGTTAATTGTCCTATGGCCAGCTGTGTTGCATGCAACTTTTGAAATGACAAAGTTTGTCAGAGTCCATGCAGCTAGTCTAGTTCTTGTTTGCATGCGCTTCAGGAGGTGTTGGGAGCACTGGTCTGTTTCTCCTCTCACCTGTATCTGTGTCCCCTATGGATCTGCAGTTCTGTATCAAGAGAACTGAAATCCCAGCACCAGAGATGCAGCTTTGTCCACCTGTCTGAGGCTTGCAGCTGCGCCCTCTGGCTTGCAGCTGCGCCCTCTGGCTTGCAGCTGCGCCCTCTGGCTTGCAGCTGCGCCCTCTGGCTTGCAGCTGCGCCCTC